GAGCCCACACACCTCCCCACTACGAGTGCCGGTGCGAAGAACGTAAGTGCAGGGACCTGCACCCCCAGACCTCCCACGCCCAGCGTACCACTCACGAAGCTGCTGGACCGACGGGGTCTCACGGGAGCGCAGCTGCTGCTTGCGCTGGCTGCCACCAAAGCCTCCACGCTGCGCGGCTGCACCTCGACCAGTACCACCGCCGCCGCCACCTCCACCACCACTGCCGCTGCCTCCACCACCTCCGCCACTGCCACCACCACCTCCACCGCTGCCACTGACGCCCCCACTCCCAGTACCACCCCCACCTCCACCGCCGCCTCCCCCGCCTCCTCCACCTCCTCCACTGCTTCCCCCGCCGCCCCCTCCACCACCCTTGCTCCCCTTGCCCTTGCTGTTGCGGCGTCTCCCACTAGGGGCAGACGCAGCCCCGACCTCCTCAGTGCCAACGAGGTCGACAGCAGCAGCAGAAGCAACAGAGGGGAGAAGGGGGATAGAGGAACACCCCTCAAAGAAAGGGGTGTGACGGTCGCCGCGAGAAGCACCTACAGCTAAGATACTCTTCTCAGCTACAGCAAGGCGCTCCTCTAGCAGGTCGACAGTCAGCTCGGTGGGGCAAAGTGAGAGAAAGTGGTCCCTGAATGAAGAAAGGGAGTCAGGGAGGCGGGTGACTAGGTAGTAAAGGGTGATGTACATGGGGGGGGGGGGTTCTTGGCACAGAACTCAGTGGGAAGGGCAGCACGGTAGCGGGCGTCACTAGTGCGGAGGTGAGCGACTAGGTCAGCAACTGTGGTGAACGCGGCAAGGTCAGGGAAAAGGTACGGCAGCATGAGGCGGCTGAGGTCAGCAGTGGCAGGGGAGGAGTAGCATGCAACTACAGCGTCGTACAAAGGCTGAGCAGTCTTGTACTGGCCAAAATGTGCGTGCTCAGCAGGCAGTAAGTGACTACGAACAGCAAGACGAGCAACGACGTCACGAGTGGTCCACTGCGAACGAACAGTACTGTCAGCAGTGGCAGCAGGAGCAGTGGAAACACCGGACGTGTGATCGAAAAGGGATACCCTATCCCTAGAATCACACTGAAGAAAAAGCTGTAGGTCGTCAACCCACACGTCAAAGTCAACTGCACGTCCCTCAGCATCAAAGGTGAGAACGGTAGGACTAGCCATAGCAGCAGTAGGAGCAGTAGCAAGAGTAGCAGCAGTAGCAGCAGTGCAAGGCAGCAGCAGTAGTAGCGCGACTCGGCAGGGCGGGGCGGTTCGGCTAGGCAGGGCGGCGCGGGTGCAGCAGCAAGCAGGTGTGGCGGTGCACTTACCAGTGGCGGACGAGGTGGGCCGCTACTGGTGGGGTTGGGCCGGGGCGCGTCAGGTAGGGCGGCTGCAGGTTCATCAGCAGCAGCAGGGCCGCCATGGTGGCAGCTGCTGCTGTAGCAGGGACGGCGACGGCAGCTGCTGCAGGGGTGGCGACGAGGCAAGGGGCGACGTCGCGGGCAGGGGCGACGCCGCGGGCAGGGGCGACGCCGCGGGCAGGGGCGACGCCGCGGGCAGGGGCGACGCCGCGAGCAGGGGCGACGCCGCGCGGGTCCCGCAGGGGCGTCGCGACGAGGCAGGGGCGACACCCGGGTGGCGACGGGGCGGGGCCGCGACCGGTGACGGGACGGGGCCGCTACGGGCGACGGGGCCGCTGCGGGCGACGGGGCCGCGAAGGGGCTGCTGAGGGGCTGCGAAGGGGCCGATAAGGGGCCGCGAAGGGGCCGCTAAGGGGGGCCGCGAAGGGGGGGCCGCTAAGGGGCCGCGAAGGGGCCGATAAGGGGCCGCGAAGGGGGGCCGCTAAGGGGCCGCGACGGGGCCGCTAAAGGGGCCGCGAAGGGGGCCGCTAAGGGGCCGCGAAGGGGCCGCTAAAGGGGCGGTGTAGGGGCCGCGAAGGGGCCGCGACGGGCCTCAGGAGCAGGGCAGGCCAGAGCGCGAAGCGCGCTTCGGGCAGGTTTGGAAAAAAAAAAATTTAACGTGGTGGGCCCTTAGGAAGAAACGGTCCCACTAGGGAACCCGCTCTATACCATGTGAGAATCAACGAGAGGAATGGATGAACTAGAATGAAGGTGGGTACAAGTAGCAAACACAAAAGTGTTGTACCCTCTAAGGACTACCCCACTACAACCTAAAGAGACTATAGCATATATGAGTTTGACATATTTGTGTGACCATTATACCTCCATCATCTCTGCTATATGACACTAATTATTCAACAAAAAACTACTAGGAAATGGCTATAAGGATAGGCTTAAGCGAGAATTGGTGCCCATTCAACGTCTTCATGCTTTCTTTAGAATGATTTATGTGGATTTTTTTTTTAGTAACTATATTCCAAGCATGCCATATAGAATTAGTTTCATTTGGAGCTGCGGGTGTTATGATTTGTTGCTTTGAATAATCAAGCAAGGAAAGGCATATAGGGATAGGCATAAGCGATACGTGGTCAAGTATCGGGCTTGCCTATGGACCAAAGCATCAGCTAGTTATCTCTCCTTGTTGGAATAAGCTCATTCTTTAGGCAAGGATAGGCATGTGCAACACGTGGTGTTGTTTTGACATCCGTTTGTCATTTCAAACAAGGTTTCTCTTGATCACTAACGCATTTATCATACTGCAAGCATGCTGAACAGATTTGGTGTCATTCGCAGCATCAGGCATGAAGATATGGTGTTTTAAACTATTGCGCAAGGAAAATTGTATGCAAGGATAGGCCCGTGCGACAGTCGAACAATGTTTTTCTCGATCATTCAAACATTAATTATAATGCAAGCATGCTGGACGGATTTGGTGGCATTCGAAGCATCTGGTATGAAGATTTGGTGTTTCAAACAAGTGAGCAGGGAAAACTATGCAAGGATAGACCTTTGCGACAAGTGGTGCCGAATCGTTGTGATTTTGTTGTTTTAAACAAGGTTTTCATTCATCATTCAAGCATTTACTATATTCCAAGCATGCTGAACAGATTTGGTGCCATTCGCAACATCTCTTGGGAAGATATAGTGTTGTCATGACATCCGTTTGTCATTTCAAACAAGGATTCTCTTGATCACTAACGCATTTATCATACTGCAAGCATGCTGAACAGATTTGGTGTCATTCGCAGCATCAGGCATGAAGATATGGTGTTTTAAACTATTGCGCAAGGAAAATTGTATGCAAGGATAGGCCCGTGCGACAGTCGAACAATGTTTTTCTCGATCATTCAAACATTTATTATAATGCAAGCATGCTGGATGAATTTGGTGGCATTCGAAGCATCTGGTATGAAGATTCGGTGTTTCAAACAAGTGAGCAGGGAAAACTATGCAAGGATAGGCCTTTGTGACAAGTGGTGCCAAATCGTTGTGATTTTGTTGTTTTAAACAAGGTTTTCATTCATCATTCAAGCATTTACTATATTCCAAGCATGCTGAACAGATTTGGTGCCATTCGCAACATCTCTTGGAAAGATATGGTGTTTCCAACAAGTGGGCAAGGAAAAGTATGCAAAGATAGGCATGTGCGCCACGTGGTTTAGGGTTTAGGGACTGTTTTCTTAATTTAAAAAATGTTTTTTGTAATCTTTCAAGCATTTGTCAAACTCATATCTAGCTTACATTGTCTAGGCTGTAGTGGGGTAGCCCATAAGGGGTACAACCCAATTAGGGTTACTACTTGTACCCAACTCTTTGCTAGTTCATTCATTCTCATTCAGTATTATAACATGGTTTTAGAGCAGGTCCTTCCCTAGGACCGTTTTTTTAGGACCCACCACAGAGCTGCCCCACTAGCTGCCCTGCCCTACCACCGCGACGTCCTGCTAGCTCACCCGCCGCCCCTAGCAGCCCGCGAGCCGCCCCTGCAGACCCGCGCGCCGCCCATACTGCCCGCGCGCCGCCCCTTGCGGCCCGCCCGTCGCCCTTGCAGCCCGCGCGCCGCCCCTGCAGCCCGCGCGCCGCCCCTGCTGCCCTGCGCGCCGCCCCTGCAGCCCCGCGCGCCACCCCTTGCGGCCCTCTCGCCGGCCCTGCAGCCCCGCGTGCCGCCTCTTGCGGCCCGCCCGCCGACCCTGTTGCCCCGCTTGCCGCCCCTTGCCGCCCGCCCGTCGCCCCTAGGCCCCGCACGCCGCCCCTTGCGGCCCACCCTTCGCCCCTACAGTGTTATAGTCACAATAGGCTTGAATGTGCCTAAAACGAAAGATAGAGAGCACAGACGGATTTCTGCACAGCGGCTTCAAACGTTAATAGCGTTCTGCTCACAGCTGCAAATGACTTGATTCAAATTGGATCTAGAGCGTCTTTACGTCGCCTACAATAAGCAATTTAGATTGCACGATTTCATAAAGAATTGACGACACAGCGTCGGTTTGAACGAACGGTACTATGGCAGCCACTATAGTCTTAGAACACAAGATAGGAAGAGTTACGAGTTGGGAATGACTCCCAGCTCCTACAAACCCCAAGAGCCAAGGTACAGTGATGTGGAACAGTGCCACACTGTCCCCAACCACGAAGGGTCTCGAAACTATCCTCCACAAGGGCCTACACCAAGAGAAATGTTACACTACACAAAGTAATGCAACTATTCTCACTATCTTAAAGTTTACCCTTTTTGAGAGCTTCGAAATCACTTGATTCTTGAAACCAAGGCTCTGGTTCTTCAAGGTAAATTCTTCCTTGAGTTCTTGAAAGTCTGCTGCGCACACCTGCGACACGCCGAATGTTCCACACACGACAAAATAGAACACCGCACACGACACGCAAACGACGACGTGACACGCGACTAGCGATAACTCGCTATTGACTCGACACACACATTCAAAATCATGCCTCATCATTCACACACTATTGTAAGCATGAAATATATATTATTTCATGCCCTCATACCATTCCATGCACACACGCATGCACGCACACGGACAACAAGCCGAATGCAAACCGTAGGGTTGCACCAACAAACTCCCCCTCGGATTGTTGGCCTTAGGATCTTGCTCTCTCAGTTCAGAGCCATCCCAGCCAGCTTGCAACACTTCCAATGCTGCTGCTCCACTAGCCTCTTGGTCATCATGTCAGCTGGCTGCCTTGTCGTCTTCACGTAGTGCAACTCAACTTCACCCGCAGCCACCATGCTCCTCGTCCAATGCCACTTCACCCTCATGTGCTTGGTGAGGCCATGCAACACAGGGTTCTTAGCAAGAGAAATGGCACCCTGGCTGTCACAGTACAGTGGGGTAGGTCCTTGCTGCTCCTCCCCCAATTCAGCCAACAAACGCCGCTGCCACACAATCTCCCGTACGGCACGGAAGAGTGCCATGTACTCGGACTCCACCGAGCTCAATGCTTGATCCACCTGCTTCTTGCTCTCCCAAGCTGTTGGGCCTCCACCAACACAGCAAATGAACCCTCCAACACTTGTCATGTCCTCTGGTTCTGATGCAAAAGAAGCATCCGAGAATGCGGTGAGGAGCAAACGCCCGGGTTCAACACCATCCGCGCCCTTTTGGCGCCTTTGCGCCGCCGCCGAGTATTGCAGCCCAACGGTCGGTGTTTGGCCAAGATACTTGGCCACCCTCATTCCAGCTGCTACCTGCTCCTCGTTAGGGCATTGAACAACCCTAGCCAACTGTCCGGTAGCAAACGCGACGTCCGGTCGGGTGTTTACCGCCGCGTACATGAGGCTGCCCACCAACGAGTGAAAACGGCGCCTCTCCTCTTCACCAACGCTCTCCTCCTCTGGTCCCTTCACACACTTGAACCCAGAGGGAAAGGGTGTAGCCACATGGCCTTCACTCTGCCCAAAGTTGGCAGCCAATGCCTCCAGGTACTTTCGTTGATGCACCCGCATGCACCGCTTCTCCACATCTCGTTCGATGTGGAGCCCAAGGTAGAAGCTCACGTCACCAAGGGCCTTGCACTTGAACTTGTCTTGAAGCTTCAGCATCACCTCCTTCACAAGGTCAGAAGAGGGCGAGAAAATGAGAATGTCATCCACATAAACCACCATGAAACTCCTCTGCTCCCCCTCGCCAAGCATGAACAAGGAATGATCGGCGGATGAAGGAGTGAAGCCTATCTCCTCCAACACTCCTCGCAGCTTCAAGTACCACTGCCTAGGGGCCTGCTTCAGTCCATAAAGGGCCTTCTTCAGCCTCAGAACTCTGCCACTACCATCATCAAACCCCTCTGGCTGCGCCATAAAAATCTCTTCCTCAAGGACGCCATTGAGGAATGCCGTTGTGACATCCATTTGTTTCACCACCCATCCTTTGATGGCAGCTCCCGGGAGTAGGGTTCTCAGCGTTGTCGTCTTCACCACAGGAGCAAACAACTCCTTATAGTCCACCTTCTCCTTCTGCTGGTACCCCTTCGCCACAAGCCTAGACTTGTAGCGCTCGATCTTGCCGTCGGCGTCGGACTTGATCTTGAAGAGCCACTTGGACGTAATCGCCTTACGCCCCACCGGTAGCTCCACCAATTCCCACGTGCCGTTCTCCTCAATGCTCTTCAGCTCACTCTCCATTGCCTTCTTCCACTCCTCAGCGTCACTACTCTCCAAGGCCTCCTTGAGAGTTGCTGGTTCCCCCGGCATCTCCACCGGAGAGAAGAACGCGAAGGCACACTCCTCGTAGTCACTCTCCTTGTCATCTCCAACTATAAGTGCCGCTCCGGCCAGAGCTGACTTGGCTGGCTTTCCCAATGCATCATAGGTCAGCCTATTAGGGGCTTGGATTCTCCTCTTGCCCCTTCCTTCCTCCTCAGCTGCAGGGACATGAAGGCCTTGGCGTTGCTGCGGGGTGACTCGGATCCGTGGAGCACTCGTAGTGCGAGAAGGAAGTGTCGGTGCACGTTCGCTCACTTGCTGCACCTCCTCCTCTTCTTCCTCTGCATCCTTGGCCTCCTCTCCCCCATTCACAAGGGAAGATTGCCTTGTGGTGGTGCTGCCGCTGCTCAGCTCCAAGGGCAGCTCCACATGCTCCAAACCGGAACTCTTCACCTCCCCAAACCGCATGCCTATCTTCGCCTCATTCTCCGCCTTCCAATCCTTGTACATCAGATTCTCCATGAATTTACAGTCCCTGCTCACCAAGAATTTCTTGGTGAATGGGTCCCAAAGAAGCCACCCCTTGCTGTTTTGAGCCATGCCCAAGTGCACAGCCCATATCGCCTTGGCACTGAGCTTGTTGTGCCGAAGATGCTTAGGCACGAGCGCCATGCACATGCACCCGAACACCCGAAGCATATCCACCTTTGGCTTCCTTCCAATCCACTCCACATAGGGCACCCATTTGTCTGCTCCCACATGAGTCAAAGCTCTGTTCTTTGCCACACACGCACTCCGCACCGCATCAGGCCAGAAATAGTCGGGTAGCCCGGCTTCAATGAGCAACCCACGCGCCGTCTCCGTGATTGTCCGGTTCGCTCGCTCGGCGATGCCGTTCATTGCAGGGGAGCATGGCATGGTAAGGGAGTGCCTTATGCCATTCTTCTTCAGCCACAATGAGAACTCCTTGCTCAGGAACTCTCCCCCTCGATCGGTGCGAATTGCCTTGACTAGCCGGTCTTGTTGCCGCTCCACCATCGGCAACCAATCGGTCTTCACCGTTTCAGCCACGTCACTCTTCTTGGACAGCACGTACACCCAAGTCATGCGAGTGTAGACGTCCACAATGGTGAGAAAGTACTCAGCTCCAGCAGCTCCAAGTTTCAGGGGGCCCACCACGTCCATCACCACCTCATCAAGTGGTGCCTTAGCCGTTGCCTCCGAACTAGAGAACGGGTAACGGGTGAACTTGGCTTGCATGCACGTCGGGCAGCCAAGTACCTCATCGGGCTCCCCCTTCACACGTATGCCAGCAACCATCTCATTCTTCACTAGCTGCTGCAAGATGGGCAGGGCCACATGCCCCATTCGCCGATGCAAGGTGAGCCAATCACACTCCCCCGTAGCCGAAGTCGGATTGGAGAATGCCGCACTCGCAATAGTGCCCCACATGTTCTCTCCGTACTCCTCCTCCACTACTGCCTTGGGGTTCTCCTCACCCTTGTGCTGCTCCTTGGCTGCTGCACCAATCTCCTCATGTTCACCAAGCTTGCTGGTCCCTCCAAGATTGCACTTCTTGGACTCAATCTCCTTAGTGCGACCGTTCGCGCCATCACCGCTACCAACCGCTTCACCCTTGGTGCTGATGCTTGCTGCCACTTGCCTTTCCTTAGGCATGGGGACCACAGGGATCTGCCACATCTAGTTGTAGACATCCCTATCCTCATGAAGGTCCCAAAGAATCCGCTCGCCAAGCCTCGCGGTGTAGGTCTTAGCTCCCTTCGAGCTCGTGTCCATGCAGGCCTTTTGCAACCGCCGCACGGAAATCAGGTTGGCAGCAAGGTTGGGCACCCAAAGCACATTCTTGAGGCCTACCATCTTCCCATCAGCACCCTTGAACATGGCCTTGCCCATGCCTTTCACCTCTGCTCGCTGCCCCAAAGCCGATGTCACATGCTTCACCGGTGACGGCTCAAGTTCGGTGAGCAAGTCCGCACGAGGTGTCATGCTATAGGTAGCGCCGCTATCGATCACCCAATAGTCCAGGGAGTGTAGGGTGACCTTTCCCACAGCTGCTGGCTCCTCAAAGCTTTCATCATTCTCTGGACCAGCCGGTGCTTGCGTGGACACGAAGAAGAATTGACCCGGGAAGCGATCGTCCCTCGACTCGCTCTCGTTGCCGGCACTCTTCATACTTGCAGCACCACCTCCGCGACTGCCACGGCCTCCACGGCCTCTTCCTCTCCCTCCTCCTGCTCCTCCACCCTCTTGGCCTTGAGCTGGAGTCCATCCATCAGGGAGTTTGTAGCAATCGCGCCACATGTGTCCTCTCTTGTGGCAAAAATGACACTCGCCGTCGAACCGTCCGCGACCGCGACCGCGTCCGTTGTTCTTGTTGTCATTGCCGTATCCGCTACTCCCGCGGCCTCCGTTGAAGTTGCTGCCTCCAAACCTTCCTCCTCCTCGTCCTCTGCCCCTTCCACAGCCATATCCACGGCCGATGCTTGCTGCCCCGGCGCTATCCGCACTCGCCAACTCACGGCGACGGAAATCCTCTTGAAGGATCGCTCGCTTCACGTCTTCGAGCGAGAGGCGGGGCAAGTCACGATTGAGGTTGATGATGAGAGAGGACCATGACTCTGGGAGTAAGGCCAGCAACTTGGTCTTCTTTTGGAGCTCACTGTAGTTCAAATCAGCTCCCTCAAGCCGCGTCAACAAGTCGAAGAATTTCTGCACCCCTTCTTCAACCGCTTCGTCTTTTTCAATTCGTAGTGCCGCCATTTGCCGTTCCAACACCACCGCTACCGCCACTGTTGCAGGAGCATGTACACCCTTGAGAGTGTTATAGTCACAATAGGCTTGAATGTGCCTAAAACGAAAGATAGAGAGCACAGACGGATTTCTGCACAGCGGCTTCAAACGTTGATAGCGTTCTGCTCACAGCTGCAAATGACTTGATTCAAATTGGATCTGGAGCGTCTTCACGTCGTCTACAATTAGCAATTTTGATTGCACGATTTGATAAAGAATTGACGACACAGCGTCGGTTTGAACGAACGGTACTATGGCAGCCACTATAGTCTTAGAACACAAGATAGGAAGAGTTACGAGTTGGGAATGACTCCCAGCTCCTACAAACCCCAAGAGCCGAGGTACAGTGTTGTGGAACAGTGCCACACTGTCCCCAACCACGAAGGGTCTCGAAACTACCCTTCACTAGGGCCTACACCAAGTGAAATGTAACACTACACAAAGTAATGTAACTATCTTCAATATCTTGAGGTGTACCCTTTTGGCAAGCTTCGAAATCACTTGAGGCTTGACACCAAGGCTCGGGCTCTTCATCACAAACTCATCCTTGAGTTCTTGATGGGTCTGCTGGACACACCTGCGACACGCCGAACGTTCGACACAGGACAAAATAGAAACCGCGCACGACAAAATAGAAACCGCGCGCGAGACACAAACGACCGCGTAACACGCGTCTAGCGATAACTCGCTATTGACTCGACACACACACTCGACATCATGACTCAACATTCACACACAATTATAAGCATGAAATATATATTATCCCATGCCCTCATACCATTCCATACACACACACATTCACGCACACGGACAACAAGCCGAGTGCAAACCGTAGGGTTGCACCAACAGAGAGCAGCCCATGCCTTTGGTCCCTTCTCTGGTTCATGCTGGAATGGCTTGATGTGACGGATCTGGCTGCTCCCCAACGCTTGCCCAAGTAGGAGATAGCCTTGTGCGCTCTTCCGCACCCACGGGCTCTTCTCCGGGTCGTTCTCGGGGCGCTTCTCCGTTCCTTCCATCACCTCCAGCAGGTCATAGTGGTCAAAGATGTTCTCCATCTTGAAGGACCATTCAGCAAAGTTGTCACCGTTGAACTTGTCAAGCCCAAACACCCTAGGCTCATCCCTAGGTGGGCCAAGACTTGGTTGCATGGGCGCCATGGCTGAATCACGGGGTTGGCCTTGAGCTTGAGCTTCTCCACTGCCACCAGCACCTCTGCCACCCCTTTCCTCAGGTCCAGCCATTGTCGAAACTGCTCCAAGGGGCTCTGATACCACTTGTTATAGTCACAATAGGCTTGAATGTGCCTAAAACGAAAGATAGAGAGCACAGACGGATTTCTGCACAGCGGATTCAAACGTTAATAGCGTTCTGCTCACAGCTGCAAATGGCTTGAATCAAATTGGATCTAGAGCGTCTTTACGTCGCCTACAATAAGCAATTTAGATTGCACGATTTCATAAAGAATTGACGACACAGCGTCGGTTTGAACGAACGGTACTATGGCAGCCACTATAGTCTTAGAACACAAGATAGGAAGAGTTACGAGTTGGGAATGACTCCCAGCTCCTACAAACCCCAAGAGCCGAGGTACAGTGATGTGGAACAGTGCCACACTGTCCCCAACCACGAAGGGTCTCGAAACTACCCTCCACAAGGGCCTAAACCAAGAGAAATGTTACACTACACAAAGTAATGCAACTATTCTCACTATCTTAAAGTTTACCCTTTTTGAGAGCTTCCAAATCACTTGATTCTTGAAACCAAGGCTCTGGTTCTTCAAGGTAAATTCTTCCTTGAGTTCTTGGAAGTCTGCTGCGCACACCTGCGACACGCCGAACGTTCCACACACGACAAAATAGAAAACCGCACACGACACGCAAACGACGACGTGACACGCGACTAGCGATAACTCGCTATTGACTCGACACACACATTCAAAATCGTGCCTCATCATTCACACACTATTGTAAGCATGAAATATATATTATTTCATGCCCTCATACCATTCCATGCACACACGCATGCACGCACATGGACAACAAGCCGAATGCAAACCGTAGGGTTGCACCAACATGCAGCCCGCGAGCCGCCCCTGCCACCCCGCGCGCCGCCCCTTGCGGCTCTCTTGCCGCCCCTGCAGCCCCGCGCGCCGCCCCTTGCGGCCCGCCCGCCGCCCCTAGGCCCGCCAGCCGCCCCTAGGCCCACGAGCCACCCCTCTTGCAGCCTGCGCGCCG